CACCTAACCCTAACTAGTTGTACCCCATATAGCCCAACCCACTACAGGCTATAATATTTGACAGATTGGTATATTTGTGGGAAGTAATATTCGCCTTGCGAATTGCATCGGCGGCTTTTTCGCGGACTTCCTGAAGTTCCGTCACAAAAGTCTGGGAACCGGGAACCGGGTTGGCGAGTGTAGTTGTCGTTGGAACCGCCGGGTCCATCCCATAATTGAGGAAAAACGGGGGAGTGATTAGTCGTGCTGGATGGTGCGTTGTTGAAAGCGAATTCCAGCATGGCGAGCGAGTCTTCCCAGCGGGCAGGGTCGGGGCAGTTTGTTCGAATTAACTGTTCCATGGTCTGGTTGGTCGTCGCTCGGTTTGACCGTCGGTCTGCGGGTGGTAGGCCGATGAGAACTGTAGCTTCGTGCCGTATTGCGCCCATGTTTCCTTCCAGAATTTGGACGTGAATTTGGGGTTGCGGTCCCTGATGATCGCCGAAGGGATGCCGTGCAGTCACACGACCGTCGAGATGAAAAGTCGCGCAGTTTCTTCGGCTGTGATTGTTGTTCGGCATGGTGCGAAGTGTGCCATTTTCGTGAAGCGGTCGACGACGACGAGAACAGCGTCGTTGCCTGTCGGCCCAGCTGGCATCCCCGTGACGAAATCCATCGTCACTTGTTGCCACGGTCGTTCAGGTGGCTCGAGGGGTTGCAGTAGTCCAGCCGGTCGCTGACGTGTTGGCTTCATTGCTTGGCACACCCTGCATGAGGACACATAGCGCTGCACGTCGTTAGAGGAATCAGGCCAGTAATAGTGACGGTGCAGTATTTTCTGGGTTTTATCAACCCCGAAATGTCCGGAAAGGTTGGAATCGTGTATCTCCTGGATGAGGAGCTGACGCAGCAGTCGGTAAGCGGGAACCCAAATCCGGTCGGTTCCGGCTTTTAGGTAATAGTCCCCTTTTCGCGTCGTAGCCTGCTGATGATTTCCCATTGTGAAGAAGGGGTCTGTTGTGTAGCCGTGTGTGAATAGTCCGGTAAGTAGCGGGTTCGAGTGGGTGATGAGTACTGCAGCGGATTGTACTGTCGGTCGGGTCAGGGCGTCGGCGATGTTATTAGCCCCTTTTTATACGTGATGCGGTAGGTGAAATGGCTCTCCATGTAGTCGAGCCATCGAATCTGTCGTGGGTTGAGGTTGGGTTGGGCTCGCAGGTACTGTAGGGATTTGTGGTCCGTGCGAACAGTGACGTCGGCGCCCACCAGGTAGCATCGCCACAGTTTAAATGCGTGTATGATGGCGAGCATCTCCTTGTCGTGGATCGGGTAGTTGCGTTCGGCTGCCTGCAGCTTGCGTGATTCGTAGGCTATCGGCTGCAACCCGTTCCCGAAATCTTGGAGAAGCACAGCCCCGATGGCAAAATCTGAGGCGTCGGTTACAACTTCGAACGGCTTCGATGGATCGGCGATGCGCAGCACAGGAGGGGAAGCGAGAAAATGCTTGAGTTCCTGGAAAGGCGCCTCTGCGTCCTCCCCCCACACAAAATTTCTGTCCTTGTGCAGCAGGTCGGTCAGCGGGCCGGTTATCCCCGCCATATTCGGGATAAACCTCCTGACGTAATTTACGAATCCAAGGAAACTCTGGAGTTCCGTGACGTTCGTCGGGGACTTCCACTCCTGTATGGTCTTGATTTTCGCCGGGCCGATTTTAATGCCGTCGCGCGAAATGACGTGTCCCAAAAACTCCAACTCGTGCTTAAAAAACTCGCACTTAGAGCCTTTGGTAATGAGTCGGTTCTCCTGCAGCCGCTTAAACACTGCGTCCAGGTCACTGAGGTGCTGCTCCCGTGTCTTGCTATAAATGAGGATATCGTCCAAGTAGACGATGACGCACCGGTCTAGAAGATCCCAAAAACCCTGTTCATGGTCAGCTGAAAGGTTGAGGGCGCGTTCGTGAGGCTGAAAGGCATCACCGTGAATTCGTAACTCCCGTAGCGTGTGCGAAACGCGGTCTTGTGACAATCGTCGGCGAAGACTCGAATTTGATGGTAACCGCCGCGTAAGTCAATCTTCGAGAAGTAGCGAGCGCCACGAAGTTGGTCGAGGAGGTCGTCGGTGCGTGGTATTGGGTAGCGAGACTTGATGGTGACCCTGTTCAACGCACGATAGTCGATACACATGCGAAGTCCGCCGTCTTTCTTCGGAGTGAACAGGATTGGTGCTGCGAAGGGAGAGGTGCTGGCCCGAATGAATCCTTTCTCCAACAATGCGTCGATTTGTTGGCGCAGCTCCTCGAGTTCCGGCTGGGTCAACCGCCACTGTGTTCGAACGGTTGGTTGCGCTCCAGGTTCTAGCTGGATTTTGTGGTCCTCAGGTCTCTCCGGTGGCAGTCCAGGTGGCAGGTCGTCGGGGAAGATTTCCGGGTACCTCCAAATAAGTTCCGCTAAATCCGGTGGTACAGCTGCACACAGCTTCTCGATGTCTTTTCCTCTGGTGTCGACTGCCAACTCGCGTAAACAAACGGCGAGCAGCTGCGCGCCTCTGTTGAAGTGGCAGGCTATCGTGATGGCTTTGACGCACGGGGCTTGGATGTAGTCAGGTGTCCATGCAGGGAGCGTAATTAGCCCCTCGTGCTTGCTGATGCTGCACGTTCCCGTTGTCCAGTCGATGACGGGGTTGTGCCGTCGCAGCCAATCGCGTCCCAGCAGTACATCGCAGCCGTCCAATGTTGTCACGAGGAACTTCATGCTGAAGCCGAAATCGTCGCCACATTCGATCCTGACCGTCCGTGTTTATTCCGTTATCGCCAAAGGCGTCCCATCCACGAGGCGAGCGTCGATTTTGGGCAGACACCTGTCAAGTTGCAGCTTGCATTTTTTTGCGCTCGCCGAATTGAAGAGGCTATGACTGGCCCCTCCATCGACGAACATTTTCAAGTTATGTTTTAACACCTTACCAGCGACCAGCACAGGGTGATCCACATGATTATCCCCGTTATTCGGCCGAGTGCGATCGATTGCATGAATCGGAACCACGACTCGGTGGGGATGGTGGGGTTCGAGCGACGGAGCACAGTCAGTAAAGGGCCCGCTAATTACTGACTCTTCCCATTTCCCTGCTCCTTCCTGTCGTTCCCCGTCGGCGGCGTTTTCTCGCGGCAATCTCTCATGTAGTGACCCGTCTTCCCACACCGGAAACACGGTCCCTTAGGAGGGCGGTCGGGTGTATGGACGGCGTTGATCGTGGTCCGATGGGTCTGGCCACGAAAACGGTTTCCCTCCCGGGAAGCTGCTCTCGCGTACTGCATCAGCGCATCTGTGGACTCCGCCAACTGTACTGCTGCAAGAAATGACGTCGGACGGCCCCTGCGAACCTCGTACTGTATCTCGTATTTGAGGCCGCTGATGTATTTATCCAGCCGTTCAGCTTCCGACATGTCATCGACTTGGTCGGCGAGGCTCATGAATGACGCCGTGTAGTCTTGGACAGAAGCCATCTGCGACCATGCACGCAGCTTCATGCGAGCTTGCTCCGAGGCGGATACGTGCTCGAAGCGACCTCGTAAGGCTGCGCCCCACTCCTCCTTCCACGTGCGTATGGTGGTCACTCCGAAGATCGACGTTGCCACTTGATTAGTCACTGTAGAGGTCCCGTCTGCCGCATGTGTCACACCTGTCGGCGTCCCTGTTTCCAAGGTTCGGCGCTACCACTCAAGCGCTGCACCTCGAAGAAGTGAAACTGCGTAATTAATACGCGTAGCGTCATCATTAACTCCGGCTGCAGTAAAGAAGACTTCGACCCGAACAGCCTTCCTTTTACCGTAACAGTTTTGTCCGTAGGATTAAACGGGGGTGGATTGACAGGCTTGATTTTGATCGTTGTCACTGCAACTGGAGCTGCTGCCGCTCGCTGCCTATCCTCCTCTTCGAAGTCACGTGTGAGCGCATCCAATGGATTGCTCATCGCCTAACTGTTGCCCTCGCCTTCGTCCACATGCGACTCCTGACGCGCTTCACCTCGCGTCTGGCGTAGTTCGGTGTTTTCCTCTCGTAGTGTCGTCACTTCCGCCATTAACGTCTTCATGCTTTCCTGCATTTCTGCCACTTGCGCCATCATCCTGTTGACCGCTTCCTGATCCATGTGCCTAACGCTACGTCTAGTGGGCAGTCGGGTCTCCGTGGCCTTCAGGCAAATGAAAACACGAACTATCGGAGTCGGGCAGGATTGAATTAACAATCCCTGCAGCCAACCGTCGTGTAGTCACTAAACCAGCCACACCCTATGCCACCAAACTACCCTCGGAAAAGCGGGGTGAACTAGGAAAGTAGCTCTGATACCAGGTTTTATGAGTTGTAAAAGAGAGTGCGCAGGTAAACGAATAACGAAGCTGTGACTGAATCAACTGCGAATACAATGAATGCCCAGACTAATATAGAACTACTCTAGCTAGGAGAGAACCTCGGACGAGCGAGGTTGGGTGCAGGTTTGGCGATGAGAAAGCCGAAGGCGACGTGAGGAGCCTCGGCAGCGTTGAAATCGGCCGAACGTGCGAACTCCGAAAATCGGGTTGTACGCGAAGCAGTCAATCCCGATAAGGAATTCGGGAAAATTCCTTACATGCCTCGTCTTACACCTGCTGATCCACGTTACCAAGTTCGAGCCTTAGAGCGTGTTCCTATCCTCGTATCAAGATGACCTTGTATCAGGCTCACACTGAAAATTCCCCTAAACCCAAAACCTCTCGCTAGTTTTACCAGGCAAAAACAGCATTCTTGATACCAGGTTTCCTGATATGAGGCCGTAGGAACACGCTCTTAGTACATCCGCTATCATTCTTGTCATCTCACCCGAGCCATTAGGTGTGCAAACTGGTACACTGAAACAAAACATATAGCAATTTTTGCACAAGCGGCTAATCACTTGCACACAGTTGAACAAGATGACAAGACAAAGAACTGCAGCCAAAACAGCGAAAGCACTAACTCGCTTATTGTGTGCCATCCACTGCAGCGGTGCCATCAGAGGTTGAAGGTGGAGGCACATGATGAGCCTGGCGATTCCACGAGAGGTACGAGGTATCTCCCAATGGCCTGCACACACACGCACACAGAACCAGCATGCGAATTGCAGATGACTACACCAGCCCGGGAGCAGGAGCGAGGGAATAAGAGGCAAAGTGAAGTCTGAAGGAACAGTCCTACAAGCATGTGTTGTAAGTTGTCACAATCCCAAAACTGAGTTCCGTGCCTAGCCTCGCCTCACAAAGGAGGTTGTGCTTGCGACACCTACAAAGTGCCACATGTCTTATGAGGAATGACTGAAATGTGACTGTTTATGAGCTGTCGTTGTGAAGAATCACGTTTGCTGTACCGTTCAGCAAGTCTGTGCACTGGGGATTTTTTCACATGCGATCTATTTGCTGTCGCTATCTTTCGGTCTACCTGAGGCGTGGAATAGAGACTTTGTGCAACTTGCGCATTTGCGCACGATTCACGGCAGCCAATACGGCAGCCAGTTTAGAACACGAAGTTTGTCGCACATTCGCTTTTCATGTTGGTGACGCCTAACATTCTATACCAGAAACAGGCATCACAAACGTTTGCGGCGCCTCATATCGTGACGCTTGCTCGTGGAATGCACCCTTGGAGATGAAAGCCTAGACAAGTATCCAATACATACCTTGGATTTGTGAAGAGGAGGACAAAGAAGAGGAGGCCGAGCAGGAAGCAGAGCCCCCCACTGTGAGGTAGGCGAGGCCCAGGAATCCGTTGGCGCCGCCCAGCCAGCTGGCGGTGGAGATGACGAGGGCCTTCTGGCCGCCGTACTGGTAGGAGTTGTAGTTGTTCTGCAGCACCACGGCCAGCGTGCTGCCTGCCTCCAGTGGCGTGTTGATACGCCCATACAGCTTGCGGAACGTGGGCAGCGCTGCCGTGCGCATCCACACCATCAGATTCTCCGACTGGTTCAGCTGCACTCCACACACAGGAGAAAGGGGTCACAGAAACGGGAATGAGGCCATTGGGCTGTGAGGACGTGCACTCGCTCCACATGACCTGGGAATGAGAAGGGGTACAGGCGAGAGTTGAGGGGGAGTGTAATGCGGGATAAGAGCACGTGTAACCCACACCCATGCGTTCCCGTGCACCATGCCTGTGTGGCTGCTAAGCAAGCTTACAAGCGTGTTAAGCTGCGCCCCGCCGCGCAGGTCATCAACAGTGTTGAAGTTCTCAGGCGGCACGCCAGCGAACTTGCCGCTCTGGTCGCTGGGCCACGCGATGTTGCTGCTGTCAATGGCCAGCTGCTGCCCGCTGCCTACGTCTGTGATGGCGTACGAGTCGTTGAACAGCGACCACGCCACCAGCCCGCACGGCCGGATGGGCGAGGACGTGTTGTCCCACAGGTACGCCTCTGGCTGGCACACGTCAAAATCGCTGCCGCTGATGTTGGTGCCCCGCAGCTGGCTGTCACTGCGGCTCTTCACGTACCTGCTCCGCCCCATGCAACAGCAACACCCAACGACAAGGGGGGGGGGGGAGGGGAGCAGGAGAATAGAGAGGCCCCAAATTAAACTAGTTTAGATAAGCTAGCGTGGAAAAAAATGGCATGCAGCAGAAACAACTGCCCATCATAACTGGGGATAAGCTAGCTTCGAGAAAGCTTCAGTTGATCGAAAATAGATTCACTGTTGCGCTACCAAGGGGCTACTCGTTGAAAAAAGGGATGGCATGGAGTGGTGTGGCATGGCATGTCAAGTCAAGGCATAGCGTGGCATGGGCATGAGGGCAAGGCGTACCGGCGGTGGTTCTGGTAGAAGTTGGTGAGCTGGTAGTACACGAACACTGGCGGCTGCATGCGCTTCGGCACCTGCACGGCGAGGAACACATGTGTGACCGGCGAATCAGGCAGAAAGGGCAACAGTTGGGGGGCAGAGAGATGCAATGACAATGGCTGAGGCCACTAGCGATCAGCTCAAATAGTGGGCGAATTGAGAGAATGAGAGACAAGGGCGTGACTACAGCGCGAGAAGGTGAGGGAGGGAGAGGGGGAGAGGCGACTGACGGTGATCCGGATGTCGCACTTCTTGACGACGGACGCGTTCTGAATGTACGCCACGCCGTCCTTGCCGGCCGGCACACAGCTGTCGTCGTAGCGCTGCACCACCTCCACCACCTGCGGGGTGACAGGCACAGGCGCACGCATGGGATGGGCATACAGAGAGCGCGCAAGTAAGCAAGCAAGCTGGGGCGCATGCAGGCGGCAAGGCGCACACAAGCGCGGATACAACGCGACAAGGACTGCATCCTGCCCGCTGTCAGGCTGTTAGATGCCGCCAGCGACCTACGCTGTCAGATGTCGCCAGCGACCTATGCTGTTAAACGCCACAAGCGACCTACGCTGCTAGATGCCGCCAGCGACCTACGCTGTTAAATGCGGCCAGCGACCTACGCTTTCAAATGCCGCCAGCGACCTACGCTGTCAAATGCCGCCAGCGACCTACGCTGTCAAATGCCGCCCTGTTAGATGCCGCAAGCGACCTACGCTGTTAGACGCCGCAAGCGACTTACGCTGTTAGACGCCACAAGCGACCTACGCTGTTAGACGCCACAAGCGACCTACGCTGTTAGACGCCACAAGCGACCTACGCTGTTAGACGCCATGAGAGCGACGACTCCGATGGGGATGAAGGCGGCGCCGACAAGGAAGAGCGTCGCGATCACCTGCGACACGCATAGACAGGCGAGTGACGAGGGGCGAGAAAGCGGCAGGAGAGGTGAGGTTTGGCCAGCTGGACAAGTGTGAGTGATGTGGGGAGCAGCGAGCGCAGGGAGAAGGAGAAGCGAAAAGAACAAAAGGGCGACTCCAACACCACAGGATCCGCGGCCAAGACGCGGTCATAGACCACCGACGCGCAAAAACAATATCTAAATCGATGACTTGATTGTGATCCTCTTGCAGGTGGAAATCACGACGCGTGCGTGGCACTGACCCATGCTGGCGTCAGCAGCGGTTTGCACGCCGGCAGCTCCTGCTGTGTGAAACGCGAGTCTGGACGCATGAATGGGAACAGGGATCAGCAATTACAATGCACTGTATCAGCAACCGTACGAGAATAGCAACTGTCAAACCACGATGTGCGAAAATCAAACACGGAATGATAAATCAACGAATTCAGAAACATGAGCAGCCGGATGGAGAATGAACTCGCCAAGTGGAGTGGAGCTCACACTTAGGCTTCTTGGACTCCTTCTTAGGGTTCCCAGCTGGCGCTGTCATCGTGGTACGCTGCTATTCTATGACGGGGATCGGTGAAAGTAGTCGCGGTTTCTGATACTAAGAAAAGTCGCGGGTGGTCAAAGAACAATAGCGGCTCTAGGGCGAATCAAACAGGTTGCGATGATGTAACCTTGCCTAGAAACCTTCTGCTGAACGAGCCACACTCACGAGTCTTTATTCCAAGTTTGTGCTTGTTTGTGCCTCTCTCCGTCATCCCACCGTCTGCCGCAAGCTACATCACGACAGTCAACGGTGAACTCTGTTGGGCCCCAGAATGGTGCGAATGGGAGGGATGGGGGGAAGATTGGGGGAAGATGGGGGGGGGAGGGGGGTGGGGAACAAAGGAAAATGAATTCGGGAATGGTGCCGATGGGAGGGATGGGGGGAAGATGGGGGGGAGGGGGGCGGGGAATAGGGGAAAATGAATTCGGGGTGAGCAGGGAGTGGCGGAAGCACACATCTTCGCACGGGTGTGAATTGTGTTTGCCTTGATGGGCGGCTATGCGGAAAACTGCTGGGAGTGAGGAAGGTCTGGTCTGGTTTCTTCCGCTGCCTGCGGTGCTGTCGCTTGAGCGTGACGCAGGGTGGCGTCAGACCACAATTATTTGTTCCCCGCCATGTTTATATCAAAGGTATTTGCTTCGTTATTATTATTGTTCCCCACTGCACTTCTCATCCCAAAGCCATCTGGTCAACGAGCAAATAGGTACACAATTTGAAAGCAACGGGATTGCCGCGACTTTCTCGAACTTTCTCCCACCGCCTCAGCTTTCGGATGGAACAGCCAAGCATGCTTCCGTCAGCAGTTCAAAACCGATGACACAGCAAAAGTGGACAGTGCATTGGCAGCATCGCTATGTCGTTCTGCTGACACAGCATCTGTGGCTTTAAACCAAGATTCATGAAATTTGTAGATCGTATTAGAAAACTGATCAGTAGCTGCATCTATTAGCATCGTGATCGCAGTGACGCATTTAGTCTGAAGTCATGTCGTCAATTTACAAGGCATTCGACCGTACCGTTCGAGACATGTACGTTTTCTTGTTTGTGCTACTTCGTGCCATTGTCTCGAAGCGGAACTTTCACGCTTGTTCCGTAGTGTTTTTCCGCTGTCGAACAACCTCCTTGCTTTCCACCGATATGCTTCGATCGTGCTAATCTGTTACCATCCATCTCCGGGTTTGCCGGTGCAGAAAGCGTGAGGTCAACAAGAATGTGCTCAAGGTGCCTGATGCTGAGCGCAAGGTGAGATGTCTTGTTCTTTTCCAAGTCCCTCATTCGTGCTTGCGCTTTCCGGACTGCGTAGTGATGCGCGTTTCTAATTGTATCGAGTTGCTTCGTCATGCGATTGCACACCTTCAAACATATAGATTTCATTATCCTGGCTGTGCATTAGCCTCTGAAATTCCGAGCTGCCATTAACGGTACGATTTCGCAGTTACACTCTGACACGGTGACTTTCTTTCATGACTTTGGATGCTCGTGGGTGTGCGTGTCAATGTGCGTGTGTGTGCTCGTTTGCGTGCACATGCGTGTGCGTGCGCGTGCGCGTCTGCGACTGTCCGTGTCCGTGTGCATGTGCGTGTGCATGTGCGTGTGCGTGTGCGTGTTTCGGCCTCTCAGGCTCTGGATGCGACGACCAACGAGCCATGGGGCCCTCACGGCCAGCTGCTCGTGGACCTCGCGCGGGCGTCGCACAACCCGTACGACCCGTTCCCCCACAGCGCCGCGGATCTTGCATTCACCTTTTTCTTTGGCCAGTTCAGCTTATTCTATGCCGTTTGGAATCCGCCTCATTAGCCACCAGCACGCTGATCGTTTCCGTAGAAGCATTCCATCTGAGTGCAATTCGTTGTGTCACGTCAGTCCCCTTGCATGTTCACTCATCTTACATGGCCGTGCGCGGTGCTGCTGTGCGCGGTGCAGGATCGAGTACTCCATGGTCATGAACGTGCTGTGGAAGCGCTGCCAGGATGTAGGCAAGGACTGGCGCCACGTGTACAAGGTGAGTCCACGTGTATGAGGTGAGTGCGCATGATAGGTGGAGTCGTAGATTTCTGCTTGTGCTCAAAGCATGAAAGTTTGTGTGACCATCTTCCGTCATGGGTTTGGTAGGGGGTCGCGTTAGTTCACTAGCATTCCGCTGGGCAGTAACGTGTATGCTCCGTTCGTCCCTTGTATGTTATGTCCCTGCCCCATCTTGTGCGTGCCGGGCCATGCGGTGCCACGGGGCGGGGCGCGGGGGGCAGGCGCTGGTGGTGATGGAGTACCTGGTGGCGCATGGCACCGAGCGCGTCGTCAGAGACCTCCGCGACCGCTCTGCCTTCATCCAGGTGCCTTCTTTCCCCATGCTCAGATCTGTTATTTCCCTCTCATTCTTTTATTGTTAATCATTGTGAATGCTAACTTTCATTTGAAGAATAGGTGTAGTATGAAATGTTCTTGTGTTGTGACAATCAGCAGACCCCTCCTCTTCTGTGTCTCACCCGTCCCACTGTGGCCTGCGTGGTGGTCGCGTTCAGAGTCTCGCTGATTTCCAGTACATGGACAGCGCGGGCAAGGACCAGGGCCTCAACGTGCGCACCAAGGCGCAGGCGCTACTCGCCCTGCTGCGCGACTCCGCGCGCATTGCTGAGCTCAGGGACCGTGCTGCTGCCACCCGCAACAGGTGTGTGCTGCTGCCACCCGCAACAGGTGTGTGCTGCTGCCACCCGCAACAGGTGTGTGCTGCTGCCACCCGCAACAGGTGTGTGCTGCTGCCACCCGCAACAGGTGTGTGCTGCTGCCACTCGCAACAGGTGTGTGCTGCTGCCACCTGCTAAGATGCTTGACTTGGCATGCTGCATGCTCCACAAAACATGGCTTCACATTCCTCCCCCGCCCTCAACCACTCGCGATTGTTCCACCAGGTTCAAGGGCGCGTCAGCAGCAGGCACGGGGCGGGCGTCGAACCCATATGGTGACTACGAGCCTGAGAGGCAGTCCAGGGACTCGCACCCCACAGCCAGCTACGGCAGCAACAGCTACGCGGGCGACGGGCGGAGTGTGTACAGCACGGGGTCGGCGGAGAGGGTGCACGCCACTGACAGCGCGCACAGTGGCGATGGCGAGAGGCCCAGCGGGTACACAGGCAAGCAGAGATACGGGGATGAGGAGGAGGTGGAGCACAGCAGCACGGGAGGGGGAGCGGCGAGGGCGAGTGGGCACGAGGGAGGGGGTGCGGCGGGCAGCAGGGTGGCGGGCAGCAGTGCTGGCGGGGAAGGTGTGGCAGGGGGGCAAGGGGGGAGGCGGTGGGGGGACGCCACAGAGTGCGCCCAGGCCTGCTGCGGTGCCCAGCACTGCAGCAGCCAGCGCCAGTCCGTTTGAAGAGGAAGGCTTTTCGGCAAGGTAGGCCTGTTCCTGCAAAAAAACGCCTTTCTCCTATCCATTCATTCCGTTTAACAGTTCCCTTTTTCAGCGTGAAGCAGCTGATCGTAGCCTGGCACACCACTGCCTGGCTGCCTGTACCATGCTCACTGTGCCAACTCGCCTCCCCCTCCTTTCTCCTCTGAACCACCCACAGCAGCGCCTACGGCCAGGCCCAACACAGCCCTACACCTACCCACCCTCCGATGCCCCTCCTCTGCTGCTGCTGCTGCTGCTGCTGCTACTGCTGCGGCCCCTGCAGCAGCGGCGTCTGGTGGGGGGGGCGGGGGGGGCTTTGACGACGACGACTTTGACCCGCGCTCCGCAGCGCAGCAGCCAGCACAGCAGCAGTGGCAGCCCGCACCTGCTGCTGCAGTTGGAGGTACACACTCGACTCGCTTGCCCCGTTGGACTCACTTCCCTCATCCCCAATGCATTCTGCATTGCATCCCATCCATCCCCAGTTGCTTTGCTGTTCACTCTGCTTCCTTTTCTTCCTCTGCCTGCCACCCTACTCTTCCTTTTTCTTCCTCTGCCTGCCACCCTACTCGTCCTTTTTCTTCCTCTGCCTGCCACCCTACTCTTCCTTTTTCTTCCTCTGCCTGCCACCCTACTCTTCCTTTTTCTTCCTCTGCCTGCCACCCTACTCTTCCTTTTACTTCCTCTGCCTGCCACCCTACTCGTCCTTTTTCTTCCTCTGCCTGCCACCCTACTCTTCCTTTTTCTTCCTCTGCCTGCCACCCTACTCTACCTTTTTCTTCCTCTGCCTGCCACCCTACTCTTCCTTTTTCTTCCTCTGCCTGCCACCCTACTCTTCCTTTTTCTTCCTCTGCCTGCCACCCTACTCTTCCTTTTTCTTCCTCTGCCTGCCACCCTACTCTTCCTTTTTCTTCCTCTGCCTGCCACCCTACTCTTCCTTTTTCTTCCTCTGCCTGCCACCCTACTCTTCCTTTTTCTTCCTCTGCCTGCCACCCTACTCTTCCTTTTTCTTCCTCTGCCTGCCACCCTACTCTTCCTTTTTCTTCCTCTGCCTGCCACGCTACTCTTCCGCATCGCTCCGCCAGCCTCACCAGGTACATCTTTCGTTCCTCCTGATCCCTTCCGCCCCTCATCCTCCCTTGCCCTCAGAGCCACCTGCCTTTGGGGATTCGTCCTTCCCAGCCGCGTTCTCACAGCAGCCGCAACAGGCGCTGCAGCCAGGGCACTACCAGCAGCCACCTCAGCAATATCAGCAGCCACCTCAGCAATATCAGCAGCCACCTCAGCAATATCAGCAGCCACCTCAGCAATATCAGCAGTCACCTCAGCAATATCAGCAGCCACCTCAGCAATATCAGCAGCCACCTCAGCAATATCAGCAGCCACCTCAGCAATATCAGCAGCCACCTCAGCAATATCAGCAGCCACCTCAGCAGCAGTACCAGCAGCCGCCTCAGCAGTACCAGCAGCCACCTCAGCAGTACGACCAGCCACCTCCGCAATATCAGCAGCCACAGCAGCAGCAGCAGCCAGCAGCAGCACCGGCCAGCCCCCCAGCTGCTGCTGCAGCAGCAACGGCCTCTCAAGAGGGCTTCCACGCCTTCCCACCCGATGCCCCCCCGCCCTATTCCTTTTCATCCGAGCAGCCCCCACAGCAGCAGCAGCAACAGCAGCAGGCAGCGGTGGCGGCATCTGGTTACGTAGACCCCGCCCAGCCTGCTGCGCCCGTGCCAGCTGCACCATATGCCTTCTCTGCCTCAGACGCTGCTCCCACCTCCGCCACTGCTCCCCCCATAACACCGCCCATCACCCCACTCCCCCTGCCTCCGTGCCTGCACCTGCTTCTGCTGCGCCCTCTGGTGCTGCCGGCAGTGATAGCGGTGCAGCAGGAGCGGCAGCAATGTGTGGAGAGGGCAAGGGCGGTGTGAGTGCGGGGGCAGGTGCGGGAGTGAAGAAGTCAAGTGTGTTCTCAGACGTGCTCAGTGCTGGCCTTGTGGACCTCAACATCTCCAAAGGTACACCTTGCATGGCGTCATGGCATCATGGCGTCATGGCATCATGGCGTCATTGCATCATGGTGTGATGGCATCATGGCGTCATGGCATCATGGCGTCATGGCATCGTGGCGTCATGGCATCATGGCGTCATGGCATCATGGCGTCATGGCATCATGGCGTCATGGCATCATGGCGTCATGGAATCATGGCGTCATTGCATCATGGCGTCATTGCATCATGGCGTCATGGCATCATGGCGTCATGGCATCATGGCGTCATTGCATGCGCGTGTACCATGCCCCCCAGATGCGAGTGTGTGCAGTATGCCCGTGGAGTGACTGTGCACATGCAGCATGCTCATGTACCAGCGTATGACTGCTGCTCAGTGTTGAATGGGGCACGGGTGAAATTGCCATAGTTTTGCTGTGGGAAGTCACAGAAGGTGCTGCTGGGCTGTGCTGCCTGGCTCCCATGCTCTCTGTCGTTGAGGCAACATCTCTCTGTCCTTGCTTTATAATGAACCCCACGTACCCACCATCACCCTTCTCCCATGTGTCCCTACTTCCGTCAGCTTCCGCTCTCCCTTGCTCTGCCATCCCACTCAACCCCCATCTCCCTTCTCCCGTGCGCCACCCCCCGCCAACCCGCCTGCGTGGCGGCATCAGAGCCGGATGACCCGCTGAGCTCGGTGGGCGTGATGCCCAAGTCGAAGCTCAGATCGGCACGCGAGCGCAAGGAGGACGCCACCCGCCAGCAGCAGCAGCACGGGCAGGGGCAGGGCCAGCCGGGGGGTGTGCCCGCTGTCATGGGCCGTGCCATGGGTCCTGGTGCTGGTGCTGGTGCTGGTGCTGCTGGCATGGGTATGGGGGCAGGCATGGGGGGCATGGGAGGCATGGGTGGTGGGATGGTAATGGGAGGAGGAATGGGGGGGATGGGAGGGATGGGGGCTATGGGTGGAATGGGTGGTGGAATGGGTGGGATGGGAGGTGGTGCTGGTGGTTATGGCATGCGGTGGTGGGTACGGGGGAATGGGGATGGGCGGTGGAGGTATGGGAGTGATGGGTGGGGGCATGGCAGCAAGTGTGGGTATGGGAATGGGGAGGTGGTGGATATCCAAATCCTCAAGGTGGCTATCCGACAGGTGCTGGTAACTACCAGCAACCTGGTTACCAGCAAGGCAATTATGGTGCTGCAAATTATCAAGGCGGAGGTTATGGTTATTGACTACAGTGTCCCCTCACTCGCTTCAGACAGAGGCCCATGGTGCATACGGTATTTAAGGTGATGATTGTGCTCCTCATGAAGTATAGTGGAGTAAGTAAAACAAAATCCGTGTCGTACGCGCTAGCCAGACAGAAGTTATGAAAGAATTGTGTTATGAATTGTAGAAGAGAGTGTGGCAGAATAATGAATAATGAAGATGTGACTCAATGAACTGCCTGTACAATGAAGGGCGCGCGATTATGTAGTGGGACAACCTAGCTACACCGGGAACCTCAGGAACGCGAGGTTGGGTGCTGGTTGGGCAAGGGAAGACTGAAGGCGACGCGTGGTTGCGTCGGCAGCAAGCGAAGTGGCCGAACGTGCACTTCCGAAAGTTGGGGTTGTACGCGGTTGAGTAAACCCTTGTAAGGAAAAAAGGGTTTTCCTTACACTACCACCCCCTTCAAGAAAGGTGGTCAATATCCGCAGCTCGTTTGTGGGCGAGGTAATCACCAAGAAGCGGGAATATTTCAAGCGAGGCGGATGGCACCCAGGTGTCGTCCTCACTGGAGCGGTTAGTCCAACAAATTAGAAAATCCACGTGGCGTCCAGAAGCGTCGAGCCGAACACGATGTGTCAATATCTTCAACGGGTCAAGTGTTGGTTCCGGGACAGGTCGGGCTGTCAGGGCGGCGTTCTGGTGCGCATGCACAAACTTGCGAAGGAGGTTGACATGGAAGGCGTCATATATATGCTAGTCGTCAGGTAGCAGTAGCTTCGCGGTGATAGGTGTCACCATCTTGATGATTTTGAAAGGCCCACAAAATCGTGGTCGTAACTTCGACGGGCCGGGCAGGTGCAGGTTTTTCATGTGAAGTAGCACTAGTTGCCTAGCTACCAAGACGAGTTCTCGTCGTAGAAGGTCGGTGTATTTGCGGGAAGTGGTATTCGCCTTGCGGATTGCGTCCATAGCCTTCTCACGAACTTCCTGCAGTTCCGTCACAAATGTCTGTGACCGCGGGAGGGACGGGTTGTCGAGTGTAGTCGTCATAGGAACCGTCAGGTCCATCCCGTAATTTAAGAAGAACGGGGAGTGATTAGTTGTGCTGGACGGGGGGGTGTTGAACGCGAACTCCAGCATGGCGAGCGAGTTTTCCCAGCGAGCGGGGTCGGGGCAGTTTGTCCTGATCACCTGCTCCATAGTCTGATTGGTGCGCTCGGTCTGGCCGTCTGTTTGCAGGTGGTATGTCGATGAGAACTGCAGCTTCGTGCCGTACTGTGCCCACGTCTCCTTCCAGAATTTCAACGTGAACTTCGGGTCCCTGTCGCTGATGATCGCTGCGGGGATTTCGTGCAGTCGCACGACGGATGAGATGAAGAGGCGCGTAGTTTCTTCGGCTGTGGTTGTTGTACGACACGGTGTGAAATGCACCATTTTCGTGAGGCAATCGACGACGATAAGAACAACGTCATTGCCAGACGGCACAGCAGTCAGCCCCGTGACGAAATCCATCGTCACCTGTTGCCACGGTCGTTCGGGTGGCTCGAGAGGTTGCAGCAATCCAGCTGGCCGCTGTCGTGTTAATTTCATGGCTTGGCACACCCTGCCTGAGGACACATATTGCTGCACGTCGTTAGCAGAATCGGGCCAATAATATTGACGGTGCAATAGCTTCTGGGTTTATCAACCCCGAAAATGTCTGAAGAGGTTAGAGTCGTGGACCTCCTGAATTAGGAGTTTACAGCAGCAGCCGGTAAGCGGGAACCCAAATCCGGTCAGTTTCGGCTTTTAGGTAATAATTCCCTTTCTGCGTCGTCGCCTGCTAGTGATTTCCAACTGTGAAGAATGGGTCCGTAGTGTAGCTGTGGGTGGTGAAAAGTCTCGTGAGGAGCAAGTTCAAATGGGTGATGGGTACTGCAGCGGATTGAACTGTCGGTCTGGTCAGGGCATCAGCGATGTTATTCGCCCCTTCTTGTACGTGAGGCGGTAGGTGAAGTGGCTCTCCATGTAATCCAGCCACCGAATTTCTCGCGCGGGTTGAGGGTGGGCTGAGCTCGCAGGTATTGTAGGGACTTGTGGTCCGTGCGAACAGTGATGTCGGCGCCCACCAAGTAGCAGCGCCACAGTTTGAATGCATGTATTATGGCGAGCATCTCCTTGTCATGTATCAGATCGTTGCGCTCGACTGACTGCAGTTTGCATGACTCGTAGGCGATCGGCTGCAGTCCGCTTTCCTGGAGAAGTACAGCTCGATGGCAAAATCTGAGGCGTCGGTGACGGCTTCGAACAGCTTCGATGGGTCGGCGATGCGCAAAACGGAGGGGAAATGAGAAAGTTCTTCGACTCCTGAAAAACTTGTCAGAGGTCCACTGGTGATCCTCGATTGATCCTAAGGAAGGGTTACAGGCACGTTGGTCTGGGGGGTTATGGGCGCACTTACCTGCTACACAAACAAGCCCTTTTATCCCAATGGTCTAGTGGTTGGGATTCTGACATGTTATCAGAGTGATCACGGTCCTTGCCTGTGGACCCGCCCTTTTGCTTCCGCTACTACTCTGTGTTCGGCACGCCCCGTGGCGTGCCCCTTAACCTTCTCTTAGCGGCCCCGTTGCCGCCCTTTCAGGCCCCTCGCGGCCCCTTCGCGGCCCTGTCGCTGCCCTTCCGCGGCCCCGTCGCCGCCCCTTTCAGCGGCCCCGTCGTCGCCCGCCCTCAGCAGGCCCCGTCGGCCGCCCTTTCAGCGGCCCCGTCGCCACCCTTTTAGTGGCCCCGTCGTCACCCGCCCTTCTGCAGGCCCTGTCGCCGCCCTTTCAGCGGCCCCGTCATCGCCCGCCCTTCAGCAGGCCCTGTCGCCGCCCTTTCAGCGGCCCCGTCGTCGCCCGCCCTTCAGCAGGCCCGTCGCCCACCCTTTCAGCGGCCCCGTTGCCACCCTTCTGCGGCCTAGTCGCCGCCTCCATCGGCCCCGTCGCCGCCGCCAGCGGCCCCGTCGCCGCCACTTGCGGCCCCGACCCCGCCCCGGCCATGCCCCGTCGCCAGCCGCGGCACACCGGGGGCACGTGCACCCCCCCCCCCCCCCCCCCCCCCCCCCCCTTTTCCCGTCACCCGTCGAGGCGACCTGAGGGGGGGGGCAAGCGTCGCCCCCTCTGCCGCCTGCTTTGGCGCCCGGGGAGGCCGTGCGTCGGCCCCCCCCCCCTTCCCCCCCCCCCCCCTCCCCCCTTCCCCCTTCTCCTTCGTCTACCTGCACCTGCAAGGGGGAGGGTCTGGGGGTGGCGGGTGTGGGGGTGATGGGTGGTGTGCTTCCCTTCCCCTCCTCCTCCTTTCGTTCCCACTGCTGCAGCTGCTGCTGGGGGGGAGGGTGTGAGGGTGTGGGGGAGCCGGGGAGTGGCACTGGGGTGGCGGGTGTGAGACCAACCAGCAGCCGTCCCTCCACCTCTCCACTCTTCCCCCCTCTGCTGCTCCTGCAGCAGTGTGGGGGGGAGGGGGATGGGGATGTCAGAAACAGCAGTAGTAGAAAGTAAGAACGAAGAAAGAGAGGATGGTCACTAGCAAGTAGTTGGATACAAATAGCAAACCCTAACTGGGTTGTACTCGCTATGGAGCACCCACTGCAGGCTAGAGAACATAACATTCTGACACAACCCTATAGCCAAAGTGGGGTGCAATCAGCAGAGCAAGCAAAGCAGAACAGGCTCAGGGTGGATCACAATGTCACCACACATTCTGAGCACAAGTACAAGAAGCAATAGTTTAAAGTTCACAATTATGAGCTAAACTAGAGGTAATCACAGAGGGCAAGTGAGGAGGAGGAGGGACTGTGCGAGGATAGAAGATGGGAGACGACGGCTGAAGTTGCAGTCACACGGGCAACAGGAGCGGCTGCTCAGTGGCTACCGGGACAGCGCCCTGGACTACTGGAGTAACTGGCTCACGGGCTACGACGAGCTACAGGAGCAACGGACCACGGGCGACAGGCGCAACAGGCTCTCTGGGCTACCAGGACAGCGCCCCGGACTACAGGTGCTGCGGACGACAAGACGGCAGCCTCCACTCAACCTCCCCAAACAGTCCTACACCCCTTGACACACACCCCCTGCTTCACCCCTAGCTCCCCTCCAAATTCACCCCCCTTAAACCCGAAACCTGGCTCCCACACACCCACTCCCCTCAGCGGCAGCTGCA